CGCGAGAGCATAATTTCGTCAATTTTCCACCAAATTTCGTACTTTTTGTTTTATTACCTTCACAAAAAGATTCTCTACGATTTCATAAGAAAAAATAACAAATTTTTTTTTTGAAAATTCTTGGACACTGGTGCGTGACTCCAGATTTGGGCCTTGGACCCTGAAAGGGTTAATAATAGTAAAAAAAAATAAGTGTACTTTGTGTGTATATTACTTTTTTTGTTTTTTAATGCCTAGTTCTATTGCTAACTTAATATATGTTAGAGTAAACTTATCTGGCATTTATATGCATTTATTAGTGGAAAAAATGACGTTCTTCTTTCTGGCGATGTCTGCTTTCCGGCAGTAGCCTGGAACCTAACCTGCCATGTAAATGGGTCCCTACTGTGTACGTCTCCAACATTATCATTATGCAAAACAGAGGCAAGTGCATTTTAGCTAAATTCATCACTAAAACAACACATTCTGCCAGGACCTAATCTCATGATCCAGACCACATCCACCATTACCTGACTTTGGCTGCCTACACTTGACGTGGACTCCCCACCTTGCCATAACTTGTCAGGCTACTTCAGTTATACCAGATAGAACATTTCATCTTCCTCTGACCTCAGTCTCACCCAGCACCTCTCTCCACCACTGATCAGCATTATATACAGTGTAAGTTGTTTATTTTGATATTTTGTGTTCTTGATACAGCCTCATGTTGCTGAAACATCATAGTACAGGTCCGCCATCACAAATCCGGCAATCAGTTATTCGGTTCCTTCAGTTATTCGGCACTAATTTTGGCTAGCATAATTTTAAATTTCCAGGGTCACCACACCAACCTGCTGGTACTGTTAGGTGGCGCTACTTGCTGCATAAGTCATTCCAGTTTCTTTTTCTCCATTTATTGTTTTAACCTGCTTACTTTTAGCCCTAGCCATGGCTCCGATGAATAAAAGAAATGCTTCTCATTATGTAAAGCACCTACACAGTACATTATCCATTAAAGATAAGGTGGCTTTGAAGCCACTGTCGGTTGTCATGAGCTGTCTCATGAAGCAGTAGAATATGCTTTATTATTACGCTAATATCAACACTACAGCTTATTTGCCTATCACAATTGATCTAATATGACATAAGAAACAATATAAATAACATAAAACATGTTAAATACTCCAGAAGGAATAATATTTGGCATAACACCGAGCAGTTCGACGGAGGTATGAAGAGGATATGGTAAACAAATACCATTCTCCTATTCCTGTCTTGGTGGCTTATATTAGAGAAAACGGAGTATAGCATAGGGCTAACTATGATATACACTTGTACTCCACCATAAACATGAAGCAAAAAAGTTATTTTCTCTCTATAGATTATCACACATAGCAACATATGTGTAGAGAACCTAGGATAACCCCAAAAAAGTCAACGTGGCTTATTTTTAGTACCTGGCTTGGATTAGCCTTATATGATTTTTGGTAAATATTCGATTCCCAGCCAGGGTAGAAACATTAGGCATGTTTCTTTACACCTGTTGTCTATGTTTACCCATCAGTAAATGGGTACCTGGGTGTTAGTCGACTAGTGTGGGTGTTATCCTGGGACACTGACCTAATTTTCTTGAAATACTCAGCATAACAAGTGCCTTTCTATACAGTATAATGTCACTCGTATTGTAGATAGTGACCCTCGTATTGTAGATAGTCTTAATGACCCTCGTGTAGTAGATAGTCTTTTTAGTATGATAATAAGATGTTATCTTCATTATAGAATAATAATGGGAGAATAATGGGAGACGACCAACTTGTTAAAAAAAAAAAAAAAAAAATAAGGTAAAAGGACCCCAATGGAAATAAGTCAGTGTGTCTGACTTTTTTGAGTTATCCTAGGTTCTCTACACATATGCTGCTATGTATGATAATTCTATGTAACTGTATTTGTGTATACAGTGGACCCCTGGTTCGCGATACTAATCCGTTCCTGAGAGCTCATCGTAAACCAAAAATATAGGAAAGTGAATCAATTTTCCTCATAAGAAATAATGGAAATCAAATTAATCCGTGCAAGACACCCAAAAGTATGAAAAAAAAAACTTTTACCACAAGAAATATTAAGTTTAATGCAATAGAATAGTAATCACAATAACAACAATAACAATAAATAACAATAAATAACGAAAGAATAATTGACACTTACCTTTAATGAAGATCTGGTGATGATTGATGGGATAGGAGGAGGGGAGAGTGTGGATGGTGTTAGCATTTAGAAGGGGAATCCCCCTCCATTAGGACTTGAGGTAGCAAGTCCTTTTCCGGGGTTACTTCCCTTCTTCTTTTAATGCCACTAGGACCAGCTTGAGAGTCACTGGACTTCTGTCACACAACATAACTGGCAGCCTCACCATGCCTAATCACACTATGTATGCCACTACAATTCTTAAATCTTTCAAACTAACCTTTGCTGGCCTTAAATTCACTCACATCACCACTAGTTGCAGGCAATTTCTTTATCAAATCGTCATGCAACTGCCTAGCCTTTTCACAAATGATTGCTTGAAAGATGCTATCTCCTGCTATCTGTTTTTCATTTATCCACACCAATAACAATCTCTCAACATTTTCTAACACTTGCGGTCGCTGTTTCGTAATCACAATTGCACCTTTTGCAAGAACAGCTTCCTTGATTGCCGTTTTCTTGCTCACTATAGTAGAGATGGTTGATTGGGGTTTTCTATACAACCTGACCAGCTCCGACACACGCACTCCACTTTCGTACTTTGCAATTATCTCTTTCTTCATTTCAACAGTCATTAGCACCCTTGGTCGCGAAGGGTTGGCACTGGGAGCTTTCTTGGGGCCCATGGTGACTTATTTTGCAAAAACAGGCACCAAAAACAGTGATAATATGGATAATATGGAATGTACCAAATGTATCCTTAGATGCGCGCACACTGGCTGGCTTGTAAACACTGGCACACACGGGGCAGTTCAGGCCACACATGGACACATCTCGTATGAACCACATCGCATACCGGATTTTGTATCGGGAAGCGAGGCAAATTTTCTGCGATATAATGCATCGGTTACCGGATTTATCGGATACCGATAGCATCGCGAACCAGGGGTCCACTGTACCTGAATAAACTTACTGATGTCAGCTTGGCCTGTATACCTTGTACATGTACGTGTAGTAAATAAAGATATTATTATTATTATTATTATTATATTATTATTTTCTCAGTTGTTTGTTGGGTTATCTTATTCAAACTTGAGCAATGTATGATGGAAATATACTTCTTCACGTACACCAAAAATGAAAGAAATCAGACCATAAATAGCGGACTTCACTTCTCAGCCATTAGCGGCCGCTTAGCAGTATATTTTGGTATGGTTGTTATGGTTATATATTCTCATTTTTTCGGTCTCATTTGATAGAATGAAAGATATATTACAGAAATAGATATAATTTTGATTGCTTTCATGACGAAAAGTACCTTGAAATTGCGCTCACAGTAGCGAAAATGTTCTATTTAGCGAAACTCAAGAGTAAACAAATGACGTCACCGTCCAATACCTGTCTGCCTGCCAGTCCAAATTCCAGTACGGAGTCAAAAATGGCTTGACATTATTTATACAATTATTACAATAATGCAGCAGTCTGCATAACAGTAAATCTTTTATTTTTTTTTTGTGAATAAAAATTCCAAATGGTAAGCAAGAGTAATATAAGAGGGGCCTGGAGCCGTGACTAATGAACAGAGAAAATGTTATTTTAGTGCCAGGAATGTCTATATTGTTTATTCTGGACACTATTTTGAAATTGGCATCTGTTGAAATTTGTGTGAAATTGGCCAAATTACCAATTTCTGACCACTTTATTGGGTAGTTGAAATAAGTGAATGGGCAGTTTCTTGTACTCAGTTGACAGAATAGAAGTAAATAAGTTTATTCAGATATACACAAATACAGTTACATAGATTATCATACATAGCAGCGTATGTATAGAGAACCTAGGATAACCCAGAAAAGTCAGACAAAGTGACTTATTTCCAGTACCTGGCTTGGGCTTGCCATATATGATTTTTGGTAAATATTTTTTTTTCTCAGTTGTTTGTTGGGCTATCTCATTGAAACTTGGGCAATGTATGATGGAAAGATGCTTCTTAACGTACAACAAAAATAAAAATGACAGACGATAAATAAGGGAGTTCACTTCTCAGCCATTAGCCGCCTCTTTGCAGTATATTTTCGTATGGTTTTTATGGTTGTATTCTCATTTTTTGGACTCATTTGATATAATGGAAGATATATTACAGAAATAGACATGATTTTGATTGCTTTCATGACAAAAAGTACCTTGAAATTGAGCTCAAAGTAGCGGAAATGTTTGATTTTTGCCGATGTTCAATGAACTGTGTAAGTCAAGTTGGTTAATTTTATTAAGTGTATTCTAACTTAACCACTCTGTAATTCGGCAAACTCAGTAATCCGGCACACTACAGGTCCCAGTGATGCCGGATTTGTGATGGAGGACCTGTAGTAAATGTTTTTACTTGCTGTTTGTGTCTTTTTAACCATTCACAAGGTGTTTCATAGCCTCCATTAAATATCTGAGTTTTTAGTTTTTGTCTATTTTGTTTTGCCTGGTCAGAGATATCATTGCTTCACATTTACACAAGTTTTTGATGTTTTTTTTTTTTCATGCAGAATCATGCTTCGTGAAAACCAGCATTAAAAAATAAATTGAGCAACAAACTTGTGAAATTCTGCCTTCTTTGATGATGAATGATGAGGTACAGGCAAACAAATAATTTAATAATAGATTCTGGTCATGTCATCGCTTTACTTTTACTATGATTATGTATTTATTTCAGACTTGCTCAGATGGCAGTGTGTTGTTTGCTGTTTGCAAAACTATGAGGTATTACTGTAATTTCTGCAAGCTCATACGAGTACAATGTAACTTTAGATATAAACCTTCATCTTTGACATTGACCTGAAGTGTTCTTGCAGCTCATATCCAGACCATGTGATCAAGCTTACTGTTCGTGACCTAGGAAGAGAGGACTTGCTGGAATCAGTAGCCAGACGATTCCATGAGAGGATACTAGTTGGCCAGGGGAAGTATGAACTGCTGAGTCTATTACGTTGCCACGATGCTTTTACTACCAACCCTGAGGATGCACGCATCCATGCTGTTCCTTTGCACCAGGTGAGTGTTATGCATTTATTGTTGTGGGTGTACTTGTTATGTATGTACTTCACTTGATGCTGTGGGTGTACTTGTTATGTGTGTACTTCACCTGATGCTGTAGTTGTACTGCACTTGTTGCTGCAAATGTACTTGTTATAGGTGTACTCCACTTACTGCTGCTGCAGTGTTTGTACTGCACTTGTTCATGTAGGTATATCCAGGAATGGGGTCAAGTATGCGCATTCAAAAAATTTGCAGATATAAGTATGTTAACTCAGAAAAAGGGTAAAATTCCAGTACACATATTTATTGCTGCAAACACTTGTGGAATATAGCTGCGGTATAGAGAAAGGCATGCTCTATACCACAATGTTTTAAACCTTTTTTGTTTAAAACAGCAACTTTGCACTGTATTTTTGTATGGTATTTATGGTTGTATTCTAGTTTTCCTGGTCTCATTTTATAGAATGGAAGACATATTAAAGAAAATGAGATGATTTTGATTGGTTTCACAATGAAAAGTACCTTGAAATTGAGCTCAAAGTAGCAGAAAAGTTCGATTTTTGCCAAAGTTCAAAAGTAAACAAATCATGCCACGCGTCCAATACACATCAACTAGTGAGTCTAATATTCTTTCACAAGTGTGCTGATATTATTTATACCATTTCTACACTAATGCAGTAGCCTGCATAATAGTAAATCTTCTATTTTTTGTGAGAATAAAAATTCAAAGTGGAAAGCAAAAGAAATGTAAGAGGGGCCCGGGGACGTAACTAATAAACAGAGGAAATGTTATTTTAGTGCCAGGAATGTCTGTCTTGTTTATTCTGGACCCTATTTGGAAACTGGCATCTTTTGAAATTTGTGTGAAACTGGCAAAATTGCTAATTTCTGACCACTTTACTGGATAGTTGAAATAGGTAAATGGGTGGTTTCATGTACTCATTCTATAGAAACAACGGAATTCTAGTGAAATAGTTATGATTTTTGTCGACTAGTGGATTAGATTTAGCCAAAAATAGGGCTCAAAGTGGGCGAAATCACTGAGACCGCTAACTTCACGAGAGCATAATTCCATAAGTTTTCCATCAAATTTAATACTTTGGTTCATTATGTTTGGGGGAAAAGATTTCTATCTTTTCATAAGAAAAAAAATTTTTTTTTCCTAAAAAATTTTCGACCCGGAAAAATAAGTTTGGGAGAGGGCCTCTCGACCCTAAAAGGGGTTAAGGGCGAGTGGAGTACTGATAATGGGGGTGGAGTATATGGTGGGTGGGTGGGGTAGTCGTGGTGGGGGGTGAAGTAGTTTTGGCTGGTGGAGAGTGAAGTGGTGGTGGGGAAAAAATTGGTGGGGGGAGTCTCCTTGGATCACTCCTTGAAACACAAAAAACACCCTCTCCCACATTATTCTTTTGAACCGGCTTAAGCAGAACAAATAGATATTACCCTCTACCAGATACACAGTAATCCACAACTGCAGACCATACCAATTGGGGGGGGTATTCAGTTATTACTCTAACCAATTATTTGTATTAGCACCACTTTTTCTTTTGTGATGAATAGGGGGAATACATTTTTGCTAATTTTCTGAAAAAAACCTTTAAAACACCTATAACCAAACGGTGCCATTTACCAGATACCCCACACAAAAATCCCAAATTTTAGTGGAAAAATAAAGCACTAATAACAAACAGAAAAATGAAAAGCACCACCTTCTCTTAGTGGAATTTCAACATCACCCTTTGGCCCCCTAGATGACACCTTAAATGTTTATAACAATATGAACAACACACTTTCCCTACCAAAAAAAATAACAAAACCAACCAGGTCATGAAAAGAGTGCAACCATAATAGACCACATATGGACCCAATATACTACCCCCCCTTTAAAAAGGGATAATCACAGATAGCACTACAGACCACTACCCTACCTTCCTCTTGACAAACATTAGTAAACCACCACTTGAATACAACAAAGTTTCATTTAGACTCCATGATGAGGCCTCAATAAGGAAGTTCACAGCTGACCTAGAGACTGTTGACTGGCCTACAGAATTCTCCAAGGACAATGGTATTGACGACTGGACAGACATTTTTCTTAACAAATTACTTAGACTATACAACAAACATTGTCTTATAAAAACGAAACAGATCACAAACAAACGGCTTGGTTGCCCATGGCTAACCAGCACCATTCTGAAATCCATTGATAAGAAACACCAATATGAAAAGCAATATAGACAGGGCTTAATACACAAAGATATTCTTAAACACTATTCATCAGTCCTCACCAAAGTAATAAAGAAAGCCAAACAACTATACTACTCCGGTAGATTCACTGACACAAGACGAGATATAAAAAAGACCTGGAAAACGCTCTCTCAGATTCTAGGGACCCAAAAACTAAAAAAAAACAAGAATATTGCCCTAACTAAACCTAATGAAACACCCACTGCATCCACTGACACAGCTAACAAGATAAACGACTTCTTCTCAACCATAGGTTCTAATCTCGCCAATAAAATCCCACGCACCAATGCCCATGCCGGGGACTACCTAGATGGGAATTTCCCAAATTCCTTCTATCTTGCTCCAACTGAGCCCATGGAAGTCACCGAGATTATAAAGTCACTTAAAAATAACTCAGGGAATCTGTCTCATGTCCCACCATTATTGTACAAGAGAGCGACCCATGTCCTCTCGCATGCTATCTCATTCCATTTTAACAAGTCACTAGAAACTAGCACCTTCCCGAAACTACTCAAGATGGCAAGGGTTACACCAATACATAAAGGTGGTGACCCTACAGATTTAAACAACTATAGGCCAATATCTTTTTTGTACCTCTGTAAGTGTGCTCAAATTGAAAATAAATAAATAAATAAATATCAAACTTACCATTGCTATCCAAAACTTTGAGAAACTCGTCCCACAGGGACATTTTCTTTTTATAACGGCACAAAACATACTCACCCCTGCCAATTTTTTTTTTTTTCGGGAAAAAAAAAAAAGAAACAATAAATCAAACATAAAAATGCTAGATCTGCTTTACACGCTTTGGAAAAAAAGGGAATATCCACTAAAATTTTTTATTGACCAAAGAAAAGCTTTTGACACAGAAACCCACGGCACCTACTCCAAAAACTTGACCATTAGGGTAAAGAGGCCATTGCTTGCATATTTCAAATTTTTACCTACAATAGTTATCAGTATGTCACCATTAAAGAACGCATCAACAACACAGCCCTTGAACGGGATTTTTCCGCAGGGAAGTGTCCTTGGCCCCCTGTAAGTAAGAAAGAAAGTAAGTAATTTATTCAGGTATACCAAATACATTACATAAATTTATTACAAGCACATAGTGTAAGAACCTGGGAAAACCCAAAAAAAAAGCTCTTCCCATTACATCAATGATTTTCCCAAAACGTATCTAACACCTGAACCCCATTCTTTTTGCGACGACACATTATGTCTCCCCCACCCTAATCTTGCCCCCTCAACACCATTGTTAATGAGGAGCTGATCAAAAATTGACTGGATGACAGCCAATAAATTACGCTTAACACGACAAAACCCTACACATTATTTTTGGTAGCAGAGCAGGAGATGCCAAAATTAAATTTTAAGACGACACACTCTAATTTCCCGGGGCATAATGAGGGAAATTTCCTGGGCCTAACCCCTCGACAACAACCTGAACTTCAGCACCCATACCAAACACTAACCAAAAAATACCCAAAAATGGTTGGGATCCTCCCAAGATACGATACTAGTGCCACAAATGCCCTTCCTACAAAACCCATTCACTTATATTCCTACCTCACCTATGCTATGTGCTTGGGGGTTCAACTGCAGCAAAACAAACCAAAGCCAATAATAACCCAACAAAAAACCGTAGTAAAATAATCACTAAAAACCCATCCTGGCAAAAAAACCACCCCCCTTCATAGATCTAAACTTTACCATGTTCAGTACTCCACATTACTACTGTGCAAACTAACTACAGACCTTAAATTCCAATATTAACCTTGACCAAAACACTTTCTTTATAGTTCACAGAAACCCCCCCGGCACAATACCAGACACAAACATCTCTATGACATTTCCCCCCTTCCGACTAAACCTTTACAAAAAATTTAATTAAGTCAAATTTCCCCCCAAAAAACTGGAAAAACCCCCACCGAAAATTCTAAAACTGCAACACATTTTATCACCTTCAAAACTACCCTCAGAAAAAATTTATCTCCCTGATACAAAGTCAATTAAATTTCACGAATCCACCTGGTGGTTAAACATGACCACTCACCCATTTTGACCATAAACAGAAATATCAATCTCAATCTCAAAATAATGAATTTTAACTAGTCATAAGTTGGCCTGTGATACTCCAATACTGAAACTATGTATAGTGCCAAAACAAAAGCATTCACATTGCTAAACTCACAAACTAGTATTTAGTCACTTAGCCATAATATCAACTTACCTCACAATTTTGTAATATTTTAAACTTAAGATTTAATTTAAGTCTGCCCGAAATGCCTAGCCATGCTAGGTGTTCTAGTGATACACTCTGTAATTATTATTTTACTACATGTAAACAATACAATAACCAAATTCTGTAAACTCAGCATTGTAATCCTTATAGAGAATAAACTTTGAATTGAATTGAATTGAATTGATGGTGGTGGGTGGGGTACTGATAGTGGTGGGTGGAGTACTGATAGTGGTGAGTGGAGTAGTGATGGTGGTGGGTGGAGTAGTGATGGTGGTGGGTGGAGTACTGATGGTGGTGGGTGGAGTAGTGATAGTGGTGAGTGGAGTAATGATAGTGATGGGTGGAGTACTGATGGTGGTGGGTGGAGTACTGATAGTGGTGGGTGGAGTAGTGATGGTGGTGGGTGGAGTAGTGATGGTGGTGGATGGGGTACTGATAGTAGTGGGTAGAGTAGTGATGGTGGTAGGTGGAGTAGTGATAGTGGAGGGTGGAGTAGTAACAGTGGTGGGTGGAGTAGTGATGG